CTTTGGCCTGTAATTTGCCCTATCTATATAAAAATTTGAGTAGAAATACACGTGAATTATAGATGCCCTTGTTCCTGGAAAACGTATTGAATTATTTGAGTTATCGATGTATGTTTGCGAGCCAATTTTTTCACGACTCGCAAATAAAGTTATTTAGGTATGTAATAAGCTGCATTTTTAAGGAATATGTCAACATGTTTTATTAATGAAACAGAGAGAGAGACATACTGGGAATTCTCTTCTCTGTTTCTCCCTGATTGAAAAAATTCCACTTTCATGGTAATTGTGTATATTGCAATTGTTCAATCTCGAATCCTACCAACAGGTTTTGGTTATTTGCTTGTTTGGCTTGTGTGCTTTCTTTAAAAAATTCCACGCCAAGATGAAAGTATTGAATTCAAAGTATCGACTCGACCTCTCAAACCCAATTCCCCCCTCATGAATAAACGAGTTGATTATTATACGGGTTGTGTGCCGGCTTGGAGGCAGGGCATGTAAACATGGGATTGGTTTCGTGGGCAGTTGTGATTTTTATTTCATCCGAGAACAAGAATAACTTTAGAATTCTAAACAAGGACGACACGGGTTAGAAATCGGAATGAAAACCTCAAATTCTCTTTGATGTCAAGAAGAAGATGAAATCTGGAGGGAAGATGGTTGAGGGAAGGAACAAAATGCAATTAATTTTCCGCCTCCTGCTTCAAAAATAAGATGATGGACCAGCAAAAGTACAAGTGAAAAGTAGGTTACTAGTCACCTTCACATCAACCAGGACTGGTGATAAGACTGCTAATGATGTGACCCACACTGCATCATTATTTTTATCACCTAGGTTTTTGAGAATGAGTAGTTCAGCATTAAAAGAAGACCCAAGTTCGTATGAATTTCTTAAGGAATTTTGTATTCCTTAAATACACAGACCATAGTAGTAGAACTATTACTCTTGTAAATCATGTAGAGATTGAAATCTGTTCAAAAATTGGGTACAACAATTTCTATCAAGAATTAAATAATTTCAGTTTAACGTTTCCACCATTTGTTGACCAGTCAACTACCAAGCTAACCAAACAACTCGTGCATATATACATTTATTTATATTTCTTCGTTATCTGGGATTTCATTACGAGCATGGAATGAACCGAGAGTAGCTTTTCGCCCGTTGATGCAATGATACGGATTAGATTGTGCAGTTTCCCTGAATTCTGGAGGAAAAAGATGTATGTATGCTTTCATCTCATCTGCAACAGGAACACATATCTCTTCTGACATATTCAAACTGCGGAGATAAGATAACGTAACGCCACACCGGTGGTAGGATGAGTAATTTGTGCACGATGACAGAATATTATAATCGCGTCCTTCGTGGGCAACAAATGTCGATTGTGTATAGAAAAATATGACATTTAGAAACGTGTGTCCGTTTCATCAAATGCATTCCCCTTATCTCACCTCACTTCAAATCAGTGCGAGTCATTTCATTGTGTTTGTGCTGCTCTGGCGGAAGGAAGATCATGTATGGACGTTTATGCATGCATTGAAAGAGAATGAGTCATCGTCCCGTGTGGATTCTGATTTTATGAGAAATGAGCAACGAGAAAATTCACGTTGGATCTTTTCGGGTGATTCCATGAAGTGTGTTAATATGATGATTGGTTGGTGGCTATATTTGGTATTCATATCATCATCATTATCGTCATCATGACATCCGATTGAAAGTTAACAGATTCTTTTGCTAGAAACAAGGTCCTTTCCATGTTTATAAACGGCATTGACATTGTCACGTATGCTACATATTCGTTATTATTAGGTTTTATTTACTCGCAGAAGTGGATAGAGATCAAAATATCTGCAAAAGACATGTCAGAACAGTCGAGAAAACAATATTATTATTGAAGCAGGCATGATGGTGAAAGCTTCACAAGTGGAATGAGCACCTGAGTTGTGCAAATTTATTTTTATTCTTAGAACTCCAAATTTCAAACAATTTTCGACAATCGCAATCACTTTAAGGAAATGGAGAGGATTTCGCCAGTTGAGTTCACTCGATCTGCGCACGTCATCACGTTAGCCTAGCTAGAATTTCAATGTGGATATAGAGAGAGATTGATTGAAAGTGTTGAAACCTCCGAGTCAGATTCTGAATTAATATTCAAAATTTCAAAATTACTAAACTTTCCAACACGCACTTTCACGTGGGTAACAGATAGTGGTTGCTCTTATAACTTAACCTTAACAATATTTCATCATAGGAAGAGTTTGAGAAGCTTTATAAAGTTTTGCAAGTTTTGACGTTGGGTTTCTAGAACCACAACACTGCAATTTAATACATGAGGCTTTACATGACTCCTATCTCTCATAGTCCTGTCGACTATGTAAGGCCAAATTTATGACAAAATTTGTTCTTCCTGCTTTCATCTTAATTTTAAGATGAGACGAACTTTGATTAAATCTGTTTCAGATCTTATGCCATATGCAAAGTACTAGACCTACAACCTTTGCATGTACAATGCAAATTTCAAACTTTGATGTAAATTCAACTACATCTTATTCCCACGTAAAATTATTCATTTACGACTTGGAGGAGTCCTTTTCTAGGTTTTTACTTATTCATGCAGCCACCATAAATCTGGTATGGTGAATTTACTTGGATGCTATGTATTTCTTTTTATGAAGAGATACAAGACAAATTCTTGTTTCCTTTTTTAACCCGAATCATGGTTTACGTGCCCATCATGTCTGAGGGGAACATGTACATAAATGTGGAGTCAGCGTGCAAAAATATACTGATTGCTAACATTATTGTATTCCGCTGAGATGAGTTGACTTATTTTATGATGAGAAAATATGAAATTTTTACAACTGAAGACCAACGAGGACGGCATGGTTTTCAGAAAAATACTAATACGTCTAATTCAATTTAGAAGTATAAACCATAAATTTGTGCGGGCTCAGCAATCCTGACAAAGTTTTCTTCATAATATTTGCCCTTATTGCGAATGCCCTATGTTACCGAAATGTATAATTCCTTAAGCAAGAAGAGGCCAAGGAAGCATTGTATTTTGTATTGTCCTTCCGCTGAATAATGGAACGGTAGGTCTTAGAATCAGGGAAGGCTGTGTTGTGCGAGCATTTATCGTCGGTTGAGGAAGAAAAGAGAATTCAAGGCAGAGGTTGAGCTTCAACCTTTCCATTTTACACGAAATGAAATAAAAGTCCAGCACCAGTTAACACAGCAAAAACGAAACCAACTTGGATTCGGGTAGTAGTGATTCGAAATTTATCAATACAACATATTTTTGGTGGCGTGCGTACATATTGTGGAAATCATTGGTCAAGTAGGAAGTTTAAATATTTTGTAATAAAAAGTTCACGATAATTTATTCTATTTTTCACACATCTTACTTGCTACAAGCTCTAAAAACCTTTAATCTAAACCATACGAAGAAGTCATCGAAGTCAGGACGATCCACAACATTTACTTTTGTTAGCAGACGACGTATTACATGGATAACCAACCACCTATGAAAGCAGCCTCCCAACACGAAGGGCACCAAAAAGGGACCCTTCGAGAGACTCCTCTCTCTCTCTTATTGTCCTTGTTCTCTCCATATCTCCCAAACTGAATAGCAGTGAACCCACCTGCAACAACCCTATTATTCGGCCAACAACACCATTTGGCCGGCCTTAATGCCTACCAACTAAATCGAGCCAAGAGGAGAGAAGGACCATCACAAATAATATCTGTGTAATATTCATACACGGGAATTATTATTACTGGGGAGATGAGGAGTCCTCGTTCGTACTAAAAAATAAATCAGAGTCGTTTTTAAATCCATCTCATCCGCACTTCACTTCAAGAGAATCACACAAAAAAAAACTTGGCTCTTTGGGACAACAGATATCCGAGAGATGAGAGTAATTGTCATTGTCTTCAGCTCAAAATACGCAATAAATCAATTGTCTCCTGCCTCTTCTGCCTGTGGTTGGAGATGAGAAGGAGAAAACTTATGCCGTCTACATAATATCTGGATCAAAAAAGCGTTCAAGTTCGCACAATTTAATTCCTTACAAAAATCAAACCACCCAAAAAAGAGTGGTGCACTACCATCTTGTTCTTTACGAGTCGAATTTTTCTCATAAATTCTAATGGAGATTCAGCGACGATCTAAACAAAACAAACCAAATCAAACTTCTTCTTCTCCTTGTTGAGATCTCGGAGGCTTCAATTCTGTTCAATGAGTGGAAAATGAGCAAAAAGTGAAGAGTCCTGCGAGACTGCGAAAAGAGGAAGTAAGGAGAACATGAGCAAAACCAATTTCATCCCAACTAACTTTAGCCTGCCTCGGAAGAAGAACCAACCACGATCAATATATTACGAGAAGCAGGGAAAAACTTCTTGAGCAACCTTTTTCATTCCCAAAAACCCCGATGATTTCATTATCCCAAAATTTAATGACATCCTTCTCACTCATTCGTTTTATAACATTTTTCCAAATTAAATTACGATTGCAATCAGGCATGATTTTTGCATAAGGAGAAAAACATAAACGTAAGCAACAATTTTGTTGTTGGTCGTATACTCTTCAAGTTCAATTCGCAACCACATCAAACTCTGTATGCATGCGATACCCGAGTCAATAGTGGACTAAATTATGTATTCATGTTTGTATTTGTAACGTATCGGGGGACACGATTGTCATTCGTGTCACATTTCAAAGTAAAGTAATAAAACGTATCCAATCTCTACAAAGGATTATAATAAAGTTTTGTTGCGTATTGATCTCACTCACTGCACTTTTTGTACATTATGTATGTAGAGCTCAAGTTCCCCATCCAAAATATAATACATGGCAAGAATAAGAATAAGGAGACGAAATTGAGTAACGACAATAATTCGCGAAATTGTATTTCCGTACTAACCTACAAAACTTGACGTGTACATGTGTACGTATTTTTATTTATTGATATTTTTGAAAATAAAAATTGAGGAAGGAACTCACTTGTCTTGTAAAGATCCATCGTGCTTGTGTATTATGCAGGATTAAGTGACGGTGAAATTTTCTCCGTTGGTCGTGTGTAAATGCGCTTTACATAGCTGACTGAGATCCTGCTGATATCAACACATCAACACAACTAATTAATTCACATCCAACGAAACTAAGAATTAACTGACACACATTAGCATAGCACTCGCAGCAGTGACGTGATACTGATGATGAGATTTTTCTTAATTCATGGATAAATTGCTTGCTGGAATTACTCACATTCTAGTTAAATTCGTGTTATTATTTACTCGCATCGCAGAATAATAAATGGTGATAATCCTTCTTGGTGATAATTCGGTTATTGTCACTGGTTTCACTACATACATTCATACGTGCTCGAGTCGTCGAAATAATTTTATTATTATGGATCCGATGTATATTTATTCTGGCTGGACTCTTTTGTAGCGTGTTCTCCGTTACGCAAAGTGATAGATAATAAGGACGACGACGACGACGACAACGGTGATGATGATGGTAATGGTGATAAGTAAGTTATGATATCGAGTTGTACAATTTGCATTAATGTTTAATGTTACTTAATGCTTTTGGTTGTATAGTAGTAGTGGTTAATAATAATGTGGCAAGGGTGAAATTGCGCGGGATTCTGTAGATAGTTGCCTTTTTATTATCAGTTATTAATTTTATACGCGGTGTTTTGTAATAACTTATTCAGCTCAATTTCCCGATTGTTTTTGTTATTATTATTATTACGGTGCCTGGTTGTAGTCGGCATAAATTATTTGCAACACGGAGACAAATGATGTAAAAACGAATATATTTTTTACATTGCGGCGTTCCATTCATGAAAGTAGTAGTAGAAGAATGTGTACGAGCGAGCGAATGGCATTAGCTTGATTAAATACTTGTTGGGATATATATTCCTTCGTTAACTTTACGCATCAATAATATTGCAAATTTCTTTTAACGATTTTCTTTTCTCCACCGTTTTGTTTTACGGTGCGAATTATTATGTAGTCGTACTCGCACATACGCAGGTTTATAGTAGTGCTGCTTCTTTTATGAATGCGAATTAAGTTGTTTTCATGCTGTGATATTAGATTTGTAGTAACTTTGCGCTGAAAACTGAACTCATTGAAGTATCGATTTATTCATTGGGTAATAAAATTGTGAATAGTTTTCTCAACAATTTGTTCACATTGAGAACCTCTAAATTTCTGCTCACAACAATAACAATACGAGCTTGACTTTCATACGAGTCAGTTGAGAAATTTGTGGTAAATCACGGCGGGTTCGAGTTATGTAATAAGAAGCACGTTCCCGTATTTGCGTTTTTGTGACAAAGTAAAGTTTTCTTTCTTCCCGTGATCCCAACAAACACACAGACACAGAGACACATGCAGCATGATAGATAAATAGACAGATTCACTTTTAGCCGACTCGTCTCAAGAAATTTTCTCCAATCGGCGCATACTAATTGCGATGATGTATCTGTCTCTTATTTTACACTCGTCTTGTATTTGCTCTCTGTCTCACACCCTCGTCAGGTAATAAGTATGCGAGTGTGTGTAGTAGTAGGTGGAAAAAGCAGGACTGGTGAGTGAGATGAGGTCCAACTCCAGTCGAACTCGACAAAACTCTTAAAGTGTTGTGTATTAAAATCCGTGTAAGTAAAAAGTAGTCCAACAAGCACCAATACATAACCAAAGAAGAAACCAACAACGCTGGCTGGTTACACACACTCCTTCATTTTTGAGTTTATTTGTATTAGTTAGCAGGCAGAGAGTTATAATGCTCTCGCTCTCTGCGCGCCTATCCTACACGATACCACACTCACTGGATACTTGGTTTTTTTTTGTCCGAAACACGTTGTACTCAGTATGTATGCATGTGTGTGTGTGTGTGTGTATCATGTATATCCCACCACGACCAGAACGGTAAGTTCAAACATTAAACTAACTAAACTCAACTTTTAGCCCTCTCTCTATGCTTTTGGTTAAGAAGTGTTTAGTTATTATGTTGCATCCTTTCTCTCTCTGATTCTCTATCCTATAACACCTTTTTGCTTGGCACCCGTCTCTACTGCAGCTCTGCCTCCTACCTTCATCACATTCTGACTGAATTGTGACCCAGCTCAACCACCACCGCCAGAACCAGCCAAGTTTTTGGAACACAATGTACAAATCCCAATCCTATCGGCTCTCAAGCTTACTCTCTGCCTGCTCTCACATCTAAACAACACAAATGCTTCTTTCCCCTCTGCTAAAACTTGGCAACCTTATAACACAAGGCAGCATGCGAGGTGGGGTCCAGGCATTGCGTGGGAAACGGGAAGAATTTCGCCTTAATGGGGGTAAAAATTGGGGAGAAAGTTGGGTGAAAGTGGGCCTTTTTTTGGGGGGATGAGAGGCTTAATTTTTGTGTCATCGTAGTTTTTGCACCAAACACACTGGAATCAATGCTTTATAACAGGTATACAGTGGTTTTTACTTCTCTAAAGGCTGCATTTTAACCCACGAGGAGATTGCCATGAGAGGCGAGGGTTGGGATGGCGTGTGAGAAACGTTACGTTGCTGGCATGCAGGCCGGCCCTCTAACTTTGAGAAATTTGAGACATGGGCGAAATGAGTGGAAAGCAGGGGAAGGAAATCTCATCTAAACTTTGGTGTAGCTGTTTAAACGGGCAACAGTTTTATATGTGTGTGAGTGGGAAGGGTACGTTCAGAAATGAGGTTTTTATGAAAATATGAAAAAGCATAATAATGAGATTTCATTATTTATGAGATGCATAAAAAATGCGACAATCATGTTTTTTTTTTCTTTACTGACTCATGCAACGGGAAGAAAGAGACGAAGAGTACGTACAAGCAATCAGGGTGAAAGTTACGCGACTCATTTTCTCCTTTAAGGTTTCGCTGCTTGATTAGATTCTGGATTATTTCTTTTTCGCTCAACTTTCTTCATTTCAATTTATTTCTTGTTTCCTATTTTGATTTGAATCCTTTCCTCAATTGCATTAGAGTAACTCTAGTAGATGCAAATATGCAGGGAGAAGAAGAGAAAGCAGAGGCTACTTCTGCTCTAGAGCTGTTTTTTACTTGGTTTCATGAGTTTCATGCAATTGAATAATATTCTCGGATTTGTGAATCGACCCACAATGCGAACTAACTCTTTGGTCCAAACAAGTTTCCCAAGCAGCAGAAGCACAAATTGAGACTTCTGCTGAAGTAAACCCGAGTGCCAACTAACCAACACGCTGCTGCTGCTGCTTGCTGATGAAAATCCAGTTCAGTATACTCTCTCATCCAACGAACGAACCACTCTTTTTACAAGTTTCAAAGACTTGCTTGTGTTGGATAAGGCTTTAGCTAGCCAGTTTTCCATATAAAGTGTACCGAAACCAAGTGCGAGAAACACTGCTGCTCTCTCGCACCAGTCTCGTCCTTAGCATGTAATACTTGCTTGGTCGTGGGGCCGGTTCAACAAATAGGAGAATGCAACTTTGGGAGCAAAAAATAGGTGTCTTTCTATAAAGTTGGCGTATATATAGGAGGCAAGCAACATTATTGTGGTTCTACTCCCAGTGTATCAAGCATGCATCGTGGGTTGTTGGGTTTGCATCCATCCAGGCAAAGAGGGTTCAGTTCACCATCTCGCCCAATGAAATGACACGTGATTCTTTACTATATGAGAAAAAGCGACCCTACTACAGCAATGTTTACCCTGTATAATTATATTTCATCCCGTCGTAGTAGTAGTGGCACAACAAACCCTCTCTGAGAACATGAGGCAGAAATAGAAAACTTGTTCCTTAAAAAGCCCCACGATAAATACCACGACGATACCTCTTTGTACTTGGTTCCGATTAGTATTTTCCTGCTTGTACCTCACTCACATCACCAGCCAGCTAAATAGCTTCTTGGACACTTATTCTTCTACTTCTCCTATTCTCAAAGTCGTCTTTCTCAAGCTGCCCAAGTCAGGCTGCTCCTGCTCCATCCTTGATTCGTCTCATGTGAGTCAAGTTATTGCCCCGTCGTGGTTTCTACCTTACAGATCTCGTCTCCACTCAAAAACCATCCTCACGGGGAGGAAGAAACACACCAAGTCATCAACATTTCTGATTATCAGCACCAGACTACTCCCGATAATCACACATTCCTACATTTTCGCCCACATTTAAATACTCTGCTCCCACAACCGAGGTCTTTCTCTTAATGAAAAGTTTCGGGTTCGCAACTTGATTAAATACCTGGGCGGGAGGCACACCTGGAAAATATGGTGAGACTGAGGACTGAGTGGGCCAGTGGTCGGAGTAGTGGACAGACTTTTTGGTAAATAATGGCAGCGCACGGAGGAGAGAAGACTTTCCCCCAGCAGCCGCAGATACGACGTGCATGGTTCTCATCCTAGGAGCATAATGCGAATTGGGTGGAATTGGAAAGTTTCTTGACAAAGTAAAGTAAACAAGAGAGAGAGCTGCTCCTGCTGTAAAAGTAGATGATTCAATGGCGATGAGAGAGAGTATGGCGTCGTAGGAAAGAGAGAGAGTCTCATCTCGACTTGCTTGCTGGTTAGACACCCAAGTCCCAAGTTACCCTTCCCAATTTTACCATACCACACACACCAACTTTTACTTGTGTCACTGGAGTAAAATACGACTCTCCTTATTTTATTTCGGGCCATTCCATTATTTGGAGAGGATAGCAAAACCAAGTCCTCAGTTGGATGCTCTTCTTCTTCTCATATTATGCTTCAGCCAGTAGTATTATGTTTTGTGGGGATACTGGGATCCTCCGCCGTCGCTGCTGCTGCTGCTGCTGCTGGAGGGGTGCATCTATCTCCGGTTCGAATTTGGAATGAATCTCATTATGAATTCAATGAGTATGAGTCTTTCATCCACCATGAGCTTCTCCTCGGTACGAATAAGTAAAAGTGATGATGTAAGCCTGGAAAATTCCCCTCGTCGTCATTACGAAGCATAACTCTGAGAGTTCAGGTTTTTTTAATGATTTCGGTTGAGGGGGGAAATTGCGCTACCTGGTCGAGAGAAATTGATTCCGTCAAGATGTGCGGACCAGACGGAGGAATTGTGGCCTCATAAACAAACCTTGGTAGGAAAAACATTTGCAGTGAATGCTCCAGTTCCACACGAAATCCTTTGGGGCTCAAGTTTGAAAGGTTTGAAAGAGGAAAGGGCCAGGACTACGGGCGAGCATAGCGGAGTGAAATTGGGAGCAGGGGAGCCCAAAATGAGTCCTTGTCTCTACTCAGCTCTAAACCAACCAGCACCTTCACAAGACTTGGATGGGTTTGGGATATGAAAAAGTATGTATGTATGCCATCATAGGGAGGCCATGATATTATATTATTATGATATTCATGAAGTCGGCCCTCCTATCTCCCATTTAAAACGACCAAGGAACTTCTTCTCCTCTCGCCAAGAAAGAAGAAAGAAGCACTTGACTCGATCCGGCCTTATAGCCAAAAGAGAGAACCTCCTCCATGAATCCGACGACGACGGCATGTTTCGAGTTACATACCTGGTCCAGCACCACCACCACTCACAATATACGAGGTCCTTCTTCTTCTTCTCAGAAGACAGACACTTGGCCGAGTCTCTGGGTGGAGTGGCTGGTTAGTCGTCCAGTAAGCAGTACAAGTGCTGGGAGAATAAGGGATATGATTATGAAGGTGTTTTTCCATCTTACGTACATGGAAAATTTTTTCTCAGGGATGAAGAAAAACAATGTGGACGGGAGGAGGAAAAATGGTATATCCAATTTTCGAATGGCTGGCTGGGTGGTGCCTCCGAGAAAGTATATGTCTATTTATGCAGGTCATACATATTTGGTGGGGTCGATATCCACCATAATTTGTGACACACTCGTCTCCACCTGGGATTAGAAGGGGGAAATATAATCATGTGATTTGTGAAGCACTTTTGTTCCGAAGGAGGATATAGCTGCGAGGGAGGCCGGAGTGCTTGGTGGGAAGTAAGATGCCATGAAGAAGAAGGTCCTTCGAATCTGGACTGGATGCCTCAAACGAACGACTTATAAGGATTCTTTTCTTCTCCTCCTGCGTCCTTCAACTTTTTATGTTTATTTTCTCACAATAATATTTTCCTTCATCTCGCTCCACACTGTCAACCTTGCTTTTCATGTAAAAAGTAAGTTGTTTCGCCACTTTTCGGCTGAAAGTATACGTAAATATATAAATATTATGTATATATTTTTGGTATGCCAAGTGTGTAAGTTGGTTGGTGTTGACGACATCCTGCTGTGGTTTCTCTCTCCTTTCGTAACTTGGATGACAATTACAGAGTTTGCATTATTTATACAAGTCATTTTTGTATAAAATTAAATTATGATCGATTTTCCCGACCGGGATAGGGCTCCACCCAAAATAATGAAAATTCGAGTCGCTAGGCGTAAATGTTTATGGTGATTTTGAAACAGGGGCAGCCTCATCATCTTCTTCATCACAAGTGCACAAAGTTTTGTTTGACGTAGTCGGATGAGATGGGATGGAAGTGGGTTGACTGTGAGAGAGGACTTTTGTATATGATATAACTCTCCTCCTGCTTACACATAGGCTTCTTGTCTACCCGACCCGTGATATTTATTCCCCAAAGAGACCCCACCAAACCACGGATGGAGAAAGGGAGGGAAAGTCGACTCCGATGGATGCTTCCTGCTCACCCTTCACGGGTCGAAGGTCATGAGAAAGCAATTTTCCCAAATGAGAAACAAAAGCTTTCTCTCCATTAAAGGATCTCAGGGGAGGTTCCATACTACACTTTTCCACTTGGCACCCACCAAGTCAACACCACCTTTGACTCCACATAGCTCACTCTTCTATACGTCTTTAGGATTACGGATCCATCCACAATTGCAAATCGACCATATTAGTGGTCCACTAATTGCCCAAAGAAACAGGTGCCGTTGCAGAATTGATAGTACGACCTTGACCTTAGTGACGATTAGTACAGCAGCATTTGCAATAACCTTAATAGAGGGTTGCAATTCCCCCTGCATTAAAGTTGGATTATGCTATTAGCACCAACTCCTAATTTCCTCAGCTCGTATACTTATGTATGTGCCTAAATAAACA